AAATATTTGAATGATAGGAATTTCCAAATAGCTAGGTTGATTTAGGGTTTTACTATGGCAAATCTAGTAGAGCTACAATAGAAAGCTTTTAATATTCTTATGTAATTTTTTTTTAAACATTATTTCAACTTGACACTGCGTCTTAACGGTGGTATAGAGGTATGCTTTACATTAATACTTAATCGCAAATAACTCTTTGAATTGGTCACCAGAAGATTAATTTTTTTACCTTTTCAAAAAACTAAATGAAAACATTGAAAAGGTAATTTGAGTAAGGTTTGTATCTGCATCACATAGAAAATAAGTCTTATGATTTAGGATGTAGTTTACAGAAGAAGCAATGAATAAAATCTGATAAGACAATGAAACAGATAGTAAAATCGGGCTTCAATAAAAGCTTTAGCCAGCCTAAGTCAGTTAATCCGATTAAGGACTGAGAAGGCCTCACGATGCCGGTGAATTTAACTTAAATTTGCTTTCCAAAAGGTATTCTCATTCAGGAGGGACTGCAGATAAGACCTCGCCTAGATCTCAAAACAAATACAAATCGAGCTTCGATCGACGCGAAGATGAGACTCGGGTGATATAAAAACAAACAAAACTGCGACCAATCAGAAGGCCACACCATTTTGGTCTTAATATTTACGATATAGACTCAAGTCTCCCTTCGGGGTTACCATAGTTATCAATTGTGATGGGTTGATAAAGAGTGTGCCATCTAGAGCAAGCATTCAGTGAAAATTTCAACTCGAACCAAAAGATAGATGATAATAAAAATAGATAAAACCCACATGGACACGGAGACACTCAAATGAAAGTACCATGACCAATATGAAAGATAATTAGCCAAACCATTCTATATCTATGCCTATACAGATTCGTTGTTCAGTTGAGTATAAATAAGACGTAATATAAAGCCGAATAGTCCTCTTCTCCTAATGTTAACTTGAGACTTTTACAAGAATAAATTACAGCTCTGAGTATATTCATCATAGGATGGACTAAAGGTTAGCCCGGTTTCACCCGAAACAAGGGAGGATGTCTCGTGGACTGTGTCAACCTGAAGGTGGTATTAAAGCCAAACGGCTGCAGTACAATGGGAATCAGCCGTCGTCTTCTAGTGAGATCGGCGTTCGAATTTCTCCATCATGCACTTTCATACGAAATGAAAATCTCTTCATTCATAGATAGTATATATGAAGACCAAGATGGTGTCCCCTGGTTAGTGGCTGTTAATACCGATGTATATACAGAGAACCTAGACAGGCTCAGCTAAGATGGAAGTCAGTATACCGTCGTGAACTGCATCTTTAAATGTAAACGTGATAGGAGTTAGTATAAGAATAAATCAGGAACAAAGCCGGTGTCGAAGGAGAATAAAATAGACGAGATAGGGAGTATGAAGCCCCTGTGAGTAAACCGAGATTAATCAAATGTCTCACCGAGTAAACGAAATCAAGCTCTTGCTTGGCAATTTGTCGACCTTCACAGAGGGTGATCAAGCGGTCCTGCATAGAGATGAGCCGTGCTGCCTGAGTTAGCCATACTTCAAAAAAGCCGGTCTTAATGAGCACCAACTGGTCAGGCTGGCCAAGCTGACCAAAATCTGGAATGCGCTTAGCGAATTCGACCACCTGTTGAATATGTGGCGCCAAAAGATGACTCAAGGTCTCGTGCATCCGCAGTCGGTGCTCATCCACTTTCTCGGGGCCGAGGTCACGGCCAGCAGGGACCTGGTGTGAAGAAGTAGCGTAAATGTAATTGTTAGTGAACAATGACTAGTAAAAGTTGCACATTTATGATAGAAGATGAAAAACGTCGACAAAAACAATTATAGATGTAGCATTGATTACGAAACAGGCAAACTAATTGGAAAAAAGTATATAACATAGGAAAAGGGATGAGATTAAAGTATACAAATTAAAATTAATTTGAACGAATATCCACTACTTAGGAGGAGGAAATAGTTAAGAAGTGCACAGAAAATGAACAAGGACAAGTGAGTATTCAGCATATGGTGAAAACGAGATAACTGCGCAGCA